CTTGTCTACAATCCCAAAAATAAATGAAGACAAAAAAAACTCAAATGGCGTGCAGTGAACAAACAAAAAATATTGTTACCTCGAAAATGACTGATTTATTATCCCCGTTTTTGTACCTGCATTTTTTCGCTTACCCGCGATTATCTTTGGTGCCGTATCTATAAAGATTGGTGTTAATATATATATATATATATATCGGTTTCAAATCAAACTTTATTGCATATTGATGTTTCTAAGGTATTTCGTATAAAGAATTTTCGTGTCAAGTTGGAATAACAACGTGCTTAGGTAGAATCGACATTAACTATAAGTTTATGCGTATTAATTCAGCTGCAAGTGGGCATTAACACTCAATCACATTCCGTCGAGAAATACGGAAGTTAAAACTAGCACTTCATATAAAATGGTGGAGAAATGGGTTACTTAATGGTGTTTTCTCACGGAAGAAGGTTATCACATAGAATCAAATAATAAAATACGATAGGATTCTAAGGGGAAATAGATGGCGAGGATGGGTGGGAAAGAGAGAAAGTGAAAGTTTTCAGTTCGACATAACCAACCATAACAACATCAGTTGTGACAGGTTTTGGAATACGCCTATTAGTGATGCCAAACACTAAATAATTGTCGCTTCTGACAGCCATGAAATCCAGCGTGTTTCCCGTTTTGATGAGTGGGATCGAATAGACAAGGTCGGACGGAACATGACGTGTCACTTGACCCAAGTGAGGAAAGATCATATCAACTAACAAGTTAAACTTTCCTACACACACACACACACACACACACACTTCCATTACTCTCTACCTCCGAATATTGACTTTAAAATGAGCCAATGGCTATGATTATGTAAGAATTTTTTCCACCATATGATATGTAAGAGCATGACTAGGAATATCCGAAAACAATTGTTCGCTCACCGACTCGTTTTCTCAATGCTATCATGGGAATATTCAAGCTTACAAAAGCATTAATTCCGATCTTATCATTTCATTCACTGCGTGTATAGTGGGAAAGTTGAGTTTCAGGTGGGGAACTGTAGCCGATCATAGACCATCCGAGACATTCGGATGGCCGTGGAACGATTGGAATTTGTGACATTCGAGCGAACGGGACAGAGACTCACACACTTCGATGTCATATTATATCTATTCCACCGCGATAGGTATAACACAGACAATTATTTTACATCATCCATTTTTTTTAATGCTTTTGTCTTTCTATGATATTTTTGAATTCAGTCCTTTCATGTACCATCGGTTGGTTATTTATCGTAAGTTGCGGGGTTACATGATTAAAACCATAATGTTTGGTACAAGGACCCTCGACTTGAGCTGACGATGTATTGTGATGCACACTGCCCCTATTACCACGATCTTAGTGAGTCAACATAAGGTGTTTTCCATGTACTGACAATTTCAGTTTCCTACCGGGATTCAAGATCATATTTTCCGATCTCATAACTACTGAATAACTGGATCAATCTTGAGAGTTGTTACGTCACGGGAAGTCTCTTGACCCCACTGCCATCAAATACAAGTCATAGACTCACTGTGGTTTGATCTGGAACTGCTGAATTGCCTGTGTCAGCGAGATCAATCATTCTGGCGAGATTGGTACGGGATAGAAGAAATACGGACTCATCCAAAACCAGTGTACTCCACTGAAGCGAAGCAAAAGGAATCTATTCGAGCAACGCCGTAGAGAGGACTCAGTAAATGCGCCATAGGAGCTGTATGCCAACCTCAGACGCCAAATCAGAACAATGCAATACTTCTTGATTCCCAACGGTCGGAATATTCTTTCGTTGGCTTCTGACGTGCCGCGTATGTAGGGTAGCGTTATCCAAGTTCCTTCTTTTGTATGTGTTGTTTGTTTCTTACCTCTGAGGTACGCTTTGATAAAACTCCAGGGATATGCATTTTATAGGAACAGTTGAAAGAACCAACTTCCTTCTCTTCTCCTTAACTCCGGTGTGCTACAGTGTGTGCTTGCTCGGCGGAATAGAGTTCGCACACAACTTTTTAGGTGGCACAAAGGGTGATTGCTGTTGTAGCTGAGGATGCAGTCCGTCGTGGTTGGTTTTCGGTAGACCGTGGTTTAGATTATTCCGTCGGGTTGCTTCATGAGAAGGATGTCGAGGAAGGGGAGTTGTCCATCTTTTTCTTCCTCTCGTGTGAAGTTGATACCGGGCACCTGCTCTTTGATCATTTGGTGGAACTGATCTACTGTGGAGGCTCTGAGTATGACAAATGTATCGTCCACATAACCTATCCACAGACGAGGTTGTAGAATTTCAAAGGCTTTGGCTTCGAAGTGTTTCATAACCTCATCCACAAGCAGCCCTAAGAGTGGCGAACCCATTGGAGTTCCTCGTATCTGCTGGTATACCTTCCCGTCGAATTGGAAATAGGTTTCCATACAGAGTTCTACAAGTTTCACCATTTCGTCCACAGAAAGTTTCATTCTTAATTGCAAATTTTGGTCGTTTTGCAACAAGTGTCGGATACTTTCGATGACCATTTGCTTCGGTATATTAGTGAACAGTGAGGTCACATCGAAAGAGACCATCACTTCATCTGGTTCAATGGTCAGTCCCTTGATGCGTTCCAGGAATGTCGTGGGACTTTTTGAATCATTTTGGTTTGCAGGTAGGGATGGGCGTAGTAGGTGGAAGAGGTACGTTGCCAGATTGTAGTTGGGTGCTGTTGTGGATGCGACAATGGGTCGTAGTGGTACATCGGGTTTGTGTACTTTCGGTAGTCCATAGAACCGTAGTGCCGAACCTTCTGTGGATTCTTCATCAGTTAGTTTCTTGTTTTTCTTGAGAGTGGAGAAAGATTTAGTTAGTTGATTCCTCAGCTGCTTTTTGACTGGTTGATAAATTTCTTTGTCTTCGATGAGTTGTTTTATTTTTTTGTATATTATGTTTTGTCCAACAGTGCGATTGCATTGCCTTTGTCTGCCAGAAGAATGATAATACTGGAGTCATTTTTCAGTGATTTCAATGCTTTCATTTCGACATCAGGGATCAGCTGCGACTGTTTTTGTTGGTTGAGGTGTTGCCATATTTTGATNTATTTTGATCCTAATTTCTTCTTTTGTCTTCTCTTTAGCCTTCGGGCCGCGAGCGGTTTCTTAGTCCGTTCTCCACAGAGGCGATGAAGTCGGTCGGTTTGGCATTGGAGTGGTTGAATTTCAGGCATTTCATGAAAATTGTCGATTCTGCGGTTGTGAGTTGGAGTTTGGAAAAGTTGTAAAATCGGCTCGGAATATCCTGAATGTGTTGCGTTCAAGTTGTTGATGGATGAAAGTCTGATCCCTGTTTGGAAAGAAGGCGTAAGTAACCTTTTGATTTATTACATTCACTTTAACAATTTCGTTTTGTGTACAATAATCCCGGCCAAACTCAGATACTGAGGATTCGTTTGTGTCCATGAAGGCTCTATTTCGCTCCTGTGAAAACAGGGATCGATATCGTTAAAAGGCAGCAGTGTTATAACCTCTGTCATTTTCTCTTGGTATGGCAAGTTCGAGGCTATTTTTGCGCATTGTTGAAAAGGTACTGATTTTTCGACTGTTCCTCGGGTCCCCAATTTTCATCCTTTCGCTCTACTGTCCTCTCATGATTTTACACTGCTCCTTTTTTGTTTTCATATTGACTTATTCCATTACTTTTCCATTTAATTTTTTGCCTCTAGTAACATAGTATTAGTTGGTCTTATTGTTCATGTTTTTAATTACGCTTCTGCTTTTCCTCTGGCAACAGTTGACATAAAAGATTTAAGTCTCACCACAACAACAGGTAGGGTTATTTTGGAAACGGTGTTAGCTAACGTGTTCCGATCTTTTCTCTCTTTGTTTGCTGTCTAAAGTTCTTAAAGATACCACCAGATTCTTCAACTTAAGTTTTCGCTGTTCCAGCTTTACATTTATACGCTGTTTTATTTTTATTATTAATGTAAATTGCAGTGAAATGAGAGATCCCCATAGGCAGAAAGCAAACTGTAAAAGGGAGAGCAGGAGAATATTCAAGTAAGATCCAGCTTATTGATTGTGCCAATACAGAGGGTAGTAAGTTTGGGAAAGAAAAGTAAACATGGGAGGGTGTTCCAAAACTTGGCAGTTAGGGGAAAAGTCGATTGGAGCAGAGAATTTCGATACCTGGGAACCGAAATCTGCTAAGGACAAGTGGATTCCCGTGTACGAGGTGGGCGGGGCAAACGTTACTGGAAAAGACACCGACGAGGCAAGCTCCAAAGAACAACAACCAAAGTTGTAACGGTAGAGTAAGGACAATGAAGCAACTGCCTGACGGTGGGATAGAGACTGCAAATTGAATGTGAGAGATGTATCATCGATCAACTCTGTGGCCTTTTGTTGAAAACGATCAACGAGGGAGAGAGAACAAGAGGAAGCCCCACCCTACATGTGACTGTAGTATTCACGAGCTAGGCGAATTTGAGCTTTGTACAGTAAGAGAGAAACTGGGGTGGAAAAGCGCCTGGCGCAGAATAAAAAAACAACCTTGAGCGCAGCACGAGAATCAAGTTCAGCCGTGCAATAGGACTAGCATAAAGAAGAATGTATAGGCAATCCAAGAAGGAAAATCGAGTTTGCCCAACGCAGTTGGGTGGAATCAAATGATAAGTGGAGGAGAATTGCATGAGATTTTAGAGAAATTGAAAGAAGAGAGACTTGAGAAGCATTGCACGATACGTGATTGACATTGCCCCAGGAGGAGATGTCTTCAAGATCGGAGTCCAACGACACATTAACTGCACGACGGTCACGATCGATGTTGATTTGACCGTGGTGAGTGGTGCGGTAGGAGAGGAAGCAGTGGAGGATGGTGTCGTCGGAAAAAGAATGGACTGGGTTGATAGCTTTTAAGAGCAGATCATTGATAAATAGACGAAAGAAGGTGTGCGCAAGTATTGAACCTTGGGGAACGCCAACATTCACAGGAAACGGCTGAGATGGAATCCCATCAACTAGGACGGAGATGAGTCGTTTGCTGAGGGAACTTGATTCTGACGATACGACAGTTTGAGGGAACCCGAACATAAATAGTTTGCCAGTAGACCTTCGTGTCAAACTCGGTCTAAGGTCCTTGGGATATCAAGCGAGACCAATTGTGTTTCTCCGTGGTTATCGAGTTCAACCGGCCATGAGTGTAAGACGAGAACCAGCAGGTTGCCGGTGGAAAGACGCTGTCGCAGGCCATACTGGCGGTCACTCAGTAGTCCTTCACGTTCAAGGAACGTGCGTGTTTGGTCGGATATGATGGTCTCAAGCATTTTCGAAGGAATAGATGTGAGAAAAATAGGTCCATAATTCAAATTCAAATATTTTTACGGGAAAATACTTACAAAGACTTCATTCATCAAATCCCATAGGGTGTTTACACGTTTGTTCGGAACACGATTCACAAGAACACAGTTAGTCCATTTTAGTACATTAGTAATATACTGTTTTTAACGAGCACAGGAGAAAATATTATGTAGTTGGGTGTTGTGTTTGTCGGAGCGTCATCAAGCTGACGCTTGAAAGATACTAATATTGGCGCACAGACCACGTGAGGTGGTAGAGAGTTCCATGTGTTGCAAACGAATGGTGTCCGCAGCCAAGACGGCTCTTTTGGAGTGTCAACTTCAGTGAATGCCCTCTGAGATGAACATTGGTTGATAGAACGAAAATAGATCTACATGGATGGTGGGGCTGTTGGAAAATCCGATACAGTAAGATCATATCAACTCTGATTTGACTATATTGAGACAAGTATAGCTGCAGTAGCTGTAATCTTTCGTCATAGGTCTTGGAATGTAGACCTTTGACCATCTTAGTAGCTATGTTCGTGTGCCTTCCGATCTCGCTGCAACCATGGGTTCCAGACCTGAATTGAGTACTCGGTGTATGGACGGATGTATGTGGCTAAAAGACGTGGAAACAAAGACGGCTCAAATGATCCAAATACACCTTTGAGCAGTCCAACCTGTTTTACCGCCATAGATAATGCCCTGGAACAGGTTGTAGAGCAACTCAAGTCTGCTCGGATGACTACTCCTAGATCCTTCTCGGATGGAGCATGAGGCAAAGTTTCGTGTCCGAGAGTGTAGGAAAAACGACTATTATTGTGACTATTATTACAACTATTATTGTGATAAGACGTTACATTTGATAACGTTGAATTCCATATTATTTGTGGGCTTCGTCAAAGGCGTTCTGGAGATCAAATGAATCTTCTGGTTTTGTTATTGTCCTCTATATTTTGACATCGTCTGCAAACAGCAGAGTTTGTGGTCCGAGGACGTCTGGAAGATCATTTATAAAGGCAAAGAAAAGACGTGGGCCTAGTACAGATCTCTGTGGAACCCCACGGTTGACATCTATTGGATCAGAAAGTGAATCAGAAACACGAACTGACATGGTAAGTAGGCGAAGAAACTACTCAATGCAGCCAAGTACGAGTCCACGGATTCCATAATTGTACAGCCTCCGTATCAATATTTGATGATTTACCCTATCACGTGCTTTGGAGAAATCCAGGTCAATAACATCTACCCCTTTGCCTTGGTCTACAGCGTGAGTCCAGTCATCTTGAGCAAAAATCAAATTAGTTGCACATGAACGATTTTTTTCGAAACCCATGCTGGACTGAGGATAGTAAGCCATTTTTCCCCAGATGATCCATTACAGAATCTGCAACAATAGATTCCATGACTTTGGAAGAAGAGTGACTGGTCACTACGGCATCCACCTTAGTAAATTTGTGAAATGACACCGTATTCCCACACCTGAGTAAGCACGATATCTTCGAACAGTTTTTGGTATAGCTCACTTAAAGGATCAGGGTGATAAGGGCTTGTAGAGGAATGTTACCTAAACCCGGTGATGAGTTCTTCTTCAAAGCCATGAGCTTAGCCTTTATCCTTTCGGGAGAAAAGATAATGTTTGTCAGTAATGGGTAAGAAACAAATTCCAGCAAACGGGGAAGTACGAACCCACTGATACTAGGCGCATTGAGCACTTGGGAGTACTGTAGCCTCAGCATTTCTGCAGCCCCCTTGGTTGTCGCTGAAACATCCTGCTGAGTTTAGTATCGGAACGCCGTGTTTGACTTTCCGGGAAGCGTTTGCGTGCTTATATAGTAGCTTAGGGTTTGCGATAAACTTCCCCGCCAGCATATCATGATAATTGTGCTTGTCTTCCCGCACCAATATTGTACAGGAGTTTCGAAGGAGCCTGTCAGTTTCCCAAGTTCTGGGGCACGGACAGCGTTTGAACTCCCTCCAGTGAAAGTTAGTTTGCTAATCCATTTCCTAGTTCGACTGCTACTTGTTGATTTTCAAACAGTCGGTCGG